CCCCGGGCTGCCCCCGCCGGCCCCGCGGCTCGGGCTTCATGGGAGGAGCGCGCGGTCCCCCGCTCCCCGCCGCGCTCTTGGGGGTGAGGGAGACAGGGCGCTGCCGGAGCCCTTCCTTAGCCTTTCCTGCCCCCCTTAGGGACAAGCAGGAAAATGGCACCGTGCTCAGGTTCCTGCTCTCATTTCTCCCCAGCCCGGAGCTCCTTCGGGTCCTTGTCGTCCTTCCAGCGGGAAGGAGGGTGTTTCCTTGTGTGTTTTCCAGCCTCTGAACTAATGACTGTTGTCCTTAGTGAACTTCCGTCCGCAGCGGCGGTCATTAAGGCTTGGTATTGAGCTGCTGGGGAATTGCTAGGCAATATCAGTTTGATTGCTTACCTTGCTTGGGTGACTTGTCTTGGGTTTATTATCTAAAGAAGTAAAAATTTACGATATTAAAATTCTTTTTTACATCCAATTATTTTATTGAAGGTGTTTTTATGTTTCAGATGCCTGAATCTGGGTTATTGTCTCTGTTAAGTAACTTTCCAAGGCACAGGTGAAGAGAGCAGCCTTCTATTGCATAAAGCAGGGCCTGAAGACTTCAGTAGTTGCTGTTTGGTTTTGAACATGTTTCATCTTTAAATGCTGTGTTTTATGTGAAAAGTGAAAATGGCTTCAAGAGGAACAACAGAAACCAGTAAGCTAAAGCAAAACTTGGAAGAGCAACTGGATAGGTTAATGCAACAGCTTCAAGATTTGGAAGAATGCAGGTAGCTAAAATAAATGTTTCCCTCTTAAATATGAATATGTTCATAGGTGGTTTGGAGAAGAAAACTATGTACCTTTTACAAGTCTTGTGGTCTTTTTTGTTTTATGTTTTCTTACGACTTTTTAAAAATAGCTTATTAAGATCACTTGTAGTTGTCTTGAGGAAAATGAGGACAGAAATATCCTTTATTGTTTTCTTGGCAATTTTACATTTCTGTATGACTTTTTAGCTACACAGTTCACAATTTCTTTATTAAAAGCAATGAATTGTTATTGTGTGTATTTTACTTTGTCTTTTAATTATAGATTTTTTGTAGACTATATAATCATATTTTTTTTGTAGCAAGGTAATCTGAAGTGATGTGAATGTTTTTGGTGGTGTCTGAAGAAGCTCACCATGATACCTACCATGAAAAAAAAGGATGTCAGGGAGTATCTCATGTTTAATTCTGTGAATTAATGTGTCTTGTTGGTCTTCAGAGAGGAGCTAGATGCAGATGAATATGAAGAGACCAAAAAAGAAACTCTAGAACAGCTGAGTGAGATCAATGACTCACTGAAGAAGATCATGTCTGGAGATATGACTCTGGTGGATGAGCTCAGCGGCATGCAGCTGGTAAGGATGATTCTTACTCAGATCTGCCTGTCGTTTTACTGAGAGTAGTTCATGTTGTATGTGGACTCGAAGGAACGGAAAATAGATGCAAGAGGTTCATTATAATTCTTAAAAAGGCATATGTGAAATCTAGATCTTTGTATCTAAGGTTTTTATTACTTAATGTATGTCTATGTAGAAGAATATGATTAGCGTTCTTCATTTCAAAGGAAAAATAAACTGAAGAATCATAGTCATGATACTGTAGAAAGATGTGGGACACTGTAGCACGTAAAAATATCAGGTCTCTAATATTAGAAAATAGTATGAAAGGTGTGAAGAGAGGTAGTTTTGACTCCCTAGAGGATTTTCAGCAATAGGGTACTGATGGATATCTTAACAATTTCGTTCTGCTGACCCTTGGAAGAGCTGCAGTTGTCAATGTGGGCATTAAAACTGCTAAAGATAATATAGCATCTCTACTTGTGTCGAGTCACTGTTGGGAAGATGTTGGAAATAATTAAGGCTTAGAGTCTGATTAAAAGTTTTACAGCATTTTTTTGTTTTGTTTTCTATGATGTGTGCCAATTAACTGATTTCTCAAGCCCTGCATAAACATCATCTGTTTTTTCCATCTTCTGTGGTTGTGTAATTATATCAAATGATACCAAGAATACAGATGATTCTGGCCTTTGTTAACCTTGTCATGTAGCTATTGTTTATGCCTTCTATTAGTTGTGGTCATTCTTGTTGTTCTCCTTGCAGGCAATACAAGCAGCCATCAGCCAAGCATTTAAAACTCCGGAAGTAATTAGAATGTTTGCAAAAAAACAACCAAGGCAATTAAGGACAAGGTTGGCAGAGGTGAAGATTTCTGTTCTACTGTAACAATTATGCTTATTTTAAGTAGACTTATTAAATTTGTCATGATTAGTTGGAAAGCACCAAGTGTGTCATAAAATTTGGTGATAGTAGTATCAGGGAAAAAAAGATTGAGAAGTTATCTTTCAGCATTTGTTCATTTTCAAATGCTCGTTGAAGTAATGAGAGCAGTAGTGTGTATTTCTTGACTTCTAATTTATTGCTGCTTCAAACCAAAAATCCAATCAGAAGATGGTCAACTGAGTATAATTGCAAATAGAAAATGTGAAGACATGATTACGGAACTGTGGGAATGAGTGCGCTCGTATCTTGGGGATCTAAACTGAATTCAGATCCAGCAAAAGTGAAATGAAACATGGTTTCTTCATGTCTTGAAGGGTACAGAGTGGCATAAAAAACAGTTTATAGGTTTACAACCGTCTTTTAAATCAGGGG